TCCCCTCCCTCTCCTTCTCTCTCCCTCCCTCCCTTTCACTCTCCCTCTCCCCCTCTCTATCTCTCTTTCTCTCTCTCCCTCTCCTCCCCCCTCCTTCCTTTCCTCCCTCCCTCCCTCTCCCATACTCTCTCTCTCTCTCAGCAGTAGCACATGGAATGCTCATGGTTATAGGTGCATCCTTGTGAAGCTGATGAAAATTAAAAGAGCATGTGGAGCTGGCCTGCACACGGGGCAAAAAAGGCCGCCCTCTGTGTGTGTTTAGGACGCGCGCCTTTATGCGTGGGCTCAAGTCGCCTCGTGGAACCTTTACACTTTCTTGGAAAAAGACAGGTTCCTAAATCTTAGCATGTACCAGGTCTCCTAACGCTTTAGGGTGGGCTGGAGAAAGACCTGAATTTGCCGTTGGGAAGCAGGGATTTGAGTCGTGACGCCGCCACTTAATTATTTTTGCATCTCGGTTTCCTCATGTTGAAAAGGAAAAACTCAGATATGAAATGAAAACAAAAGAAAATTTGGGGGCCAGGCATGTGACTCGGTGGTAAAAAGCATGTGCTTTGCATGCACGAGACCTGGGTTCCATCCCCAGCACCAGGAAATAAAATGAAGCAAAAATGAAGTAAAATAAGGGGTCAGGGAGCTTGGCGCAAAAGTCTGAAGCATGAACTTCCATGTGGGAACCTTGGATTTGATGCCCGCATGGCCCAGGCCCCTGATGCTGCCAGGAGCAACCCCAAGCAAAACTGGGAGGAGCCCCTGAGTAATTACTGGATGTTGTCCAGATAATGTGGCCAGTTGGTTACCAAGAGAAATGGAACCCTGCAAACAAAACTGCTCCACGGGGGCCGGAGAGATGGTACAGTTGGCAGGGGGCTTGCCTTGAATGCCGTTAATTAGGGTTCCATGCTCGGCATCCCAAAGAGTCCCCTAAGCCCTTCCTGGAGTGATCCCTGAGCACTACTGGGTGTAGCCCTCAAACCAAACCAAACCAAACCAAACCAAAACAAAACAAAACATTCTTCATGGCAGGCAGAATACTCTAACCTCTCCAAGGGTGTCAGAATGAAGATGCGCAAGGCATCAATTCACAGATGGAAGAAGTTTTTATCGTCCTTAGGGGGAATAGGGAGGCTCACCCCGACTCATCATAATCAAACTGCCATGAGCCAAAGACAGAGAAATCAAAGGCACGGGATCTTCAAAGACGCTCCAGTGAGTTGACAGCTAGAGACAAAGGAGCCATATTTTGAATGTGCTGAAAAAGAATATTGTTGACCTAGAATTCTCTTCTCCAAAATGAGTAGGGGCTGGGCCTGGGCTAGGGGGCAGAGAACTTCTGAACAAATAAAAACCAGGAAAAATTGCTGTCAGCTGACTTGTGGCAAAAGAAATCCTAATGGATGTCTCCAGTGGCAGGAAGATAATTTGAGACAGAAGCCCAGGTATGCAGAAAGGAATGAAGAATAGGGGAATGCATAAATACCTGGTGAATATAAGTGAAAACCTTTCAAATCCAGCAATCTTGGTGTACTGTAGAAGAAGAACACATGAATAACACAAACGGAGGTTTTACATTTATTTTGCTTGTAGGTTGTACGATTACAGAGTTGAGCTATACTTTTATAAGTTAATGATAGTAAAGCTACTAAATGAATAACAAAACACTAAGAAAGAAGCTAATGGAGGGGGGAAGGGTGTAATAATAATAAAACTTGACCCAGCACACACAAGAAGAGAAACAAAGGAACTTAGTTTCGGTTAAGAGGATAAAAGGGTCATAATCTCAGACACTATCAGCAATTGCATCATCAGTGGGGAACCAGAGAGATGATACAGGGGTGGTTAAGACTCAGGTTTAAATCCCCAGCACCCCATTTGGTCCCCTGAGCACCACAAAGGATCACTTCTGAGCACAGGGCCTGAAACAGTCCCTGAATGAATCTGGTTGTGTCTTCCTCTCACCCAGGGTATCAATAGATTTTATGTGCAATAGGAAATTAGTGTTTTGGATGGAATGAAATAGTAAAACCAATTTCTGTGCTAGTTACATGGGACAAATTTTGTTTTTTTGAAACAAATCTTGAAATAAGTTTTGATGGCCCAGATTTAGAAGGAAGCATTTGAGCTTATGTATACATCATACCGGAAGCAGTTAAGTAGGGACGTGGACTTTGCAAACAGCACGAATAACCAGTTTGCTCTTCCTGATGACTGTAGAACATTCTACTTTGCTGCTGCAGATTACACAGTCTTTAAAATGCACATAGATTATTTACAAAAATCAATAATGTGTGAGGTCAGGCATTGCATTGCACAGTATTGAAAAAATAGATACATTTTCAGGCCTAGTGCAACCAAAGTAGAAATCAGTAGCAAAATAAAATAATTTAAAAGAGTATGAACATTCTTAGGAATTAAACTATGACCCATGGATCACTCAGGGTCAAAGAGATCACAATGGAAACTAGAATTGTTTTTACCTAAATTACAATGAAAGTGATATGCAACTGTATTGGGTGCATGTTATTTTATTTTATTTTTTTTTGTAGGAGTACTGCTATTTATTCAGCCACTGATTAGCTGATTGAATTGGGCATGAACTCCTTACTGTTTTTTTTTTCATTTTTTATAATTTTATTTATTGAATCACCGTGAGAGCAGTTACAAAGCTTTTGGGTCTAAGTCTCGTCATACAATAAAACACCCGTACATTCACCAGTGCCCATTCTCCATCCCCAACAACCCCAGTATACCCCCATCCCACATACTCCCCCTACCTGTGGGGCAGATGATTTCCACATTACTCTCTCTCTACTTTATCACATTCAATATTTCAACACCAGACCCACCATTATTATTTGAGATTTTACCCCAACACTCAGAAAAGGCAACAGTAGAAAATTTGTTTTCTATTGCTGGTTATGAATAACATATGATGTCTCGTGGCTGCAGTAGTGGCCGCGCGGTTTTGAAATTCTGAAATTTTAATGCTTAAATCTGGAGGGATTTCTGCCAAAACCTGCTGGGTTCCGAGATTTGCTCCTGAGTCTCTGGGATCATGGCCGTTAAGCAGCTTGATCAGGAGCCAGAGAGGCCATTCGTGGGCGATGACTTGGGGTCTCCTTGGGGTGGGGAGGACAGGACCGGCTCCACCCCCATCCCGTGAGGCCCTGTGTGTCTCATCACTGTGGGCCCAAACTAGTGGCATCTGGAGAATGGCGGCCACTGGGCCGCCAGGGGGAACAGGCCAAGGCACGAAACCTATTCCCACCTGGGTTGGCCCAGCACTGGTAACCTACTGCAGGGACTGGACGCATTTCTGCCAAAAGCCACTGGGTTTCAGGATTTATTTCTGAGTCTCTGGGATCATGGCCATTAAGCAGTTCAATCAGGAACCAGAGAGAGGCCATGCCTCCAATTATATAGCTGTGCTGGAGGTGGTTTGTGGGTGTGTTTCCCACATACCTAACTTTTGGCCATTTACTTTCTTCGTAAACTTTGCCCCAAATTTTTGGGATCTGGCCAAAGGCACAGCAGCAATTTGGGGGTATCTGGAAGTCTGAAGGCGCCATCAGGCTGCTGATGCACTCGCCTCACAGGTACAGATTGACCTGTTGACGGCACCATACCCCCTGGGTGCATTTTAAATAGTTGTAAAGGTAAATGTATAACATTCCAAGCATATATTAGAAATGGAGAAATATTGAAATCATTAAAAATGTCTAAATTCATAATTAAATGCAAGAATAAGAGTGGAAGAAATAAAGAGTAGAAGAAATAAAAAGCAGAAAGGGACAAAGTCAAAAAAGATTATGCTTTCAAAAACAAAATCAAAGCTTATCTGAAAAGATTAATACAATTGTTAAAGATCTAGTAATACAAAAATCTATTTTTTTAAAAAAACAAAACCAAAAATTGGTTGCAAAGATTCAAAAATTAATTAAAAAATAATAAAATTATTAAAAATCTGGTCGAAGAGAAATACATTATTAGTATTAGAAATGAGGAGGTGACTTGCTACAGCTAGTTGGCAGATGTTAAGCCACACTTGTAATCCAATAAATTGAACAATTTAGACAAAGCAAACACGTTCCTCGGAAAAAATTGCTACTAACAAAACTGACAATCTGTGCAGAAGCCTGTGACCGTGATAGAAAGTGAATCTGATTTAAAACCTGTAATCTCCACCCACCACCACCCTACTGGCTCCCCCCAGCAAAAAATCAAACAAACAAACAACCCTCACCCCAAACAAAACCCAACAAAACTGAACTTGTAGACCAGATGCTTTTTGGATGAATTCTTCTAAACCTTTCAAGGGAAGAATAAGACCAGTCTTATATACATTTTTTCAAGAAAAAGATGGTGCACTTCTGATACCCTTGGTCACACCACCATAAATAACCTTGACACTTAATACCAGATTGATGGTTTTTTACAAGTGTTGGGGGAAAAAAAAAGCCAAAGTCAGACCCCAAAGTATAAAAATGCCGTTTGATTCCTTCGGTGAGGGGCACGCTGGCGCTCCAGGCTGAGAGGGGCAAGGAGCTGACCCAGGCGGCCACTGACGCTCACTGTCCTGTGTGTTCCTCTGACTGGGACGAAGAGCCTGGACTTGAGCGGGAATTCATTACACGGGGGTGGGGTGGGGGGGGATTTGAGCCCCACACATAGCATGTTTGAAGGACTGTAGCGGGCTTTGGCCGTGTGTGTGTGTGGCCACCTGACCTTCTTTTCCCTCATCCCTCAGTTTCTCTTGCAGCTAAATTGAATCCAATGTGCATTTCTCTCGCTCCCATTCTGGCTTGACTTTGTTTGAGCCACGTGTCCGGTGGGGCTGGCTGGAGCATGGGGGGACTCTTAACCACTGACTGACTCCTTGCTCCCCAGGAATTCAGGAGTTACCAGACCCAGAGTTGACAGGGTTCGAGCATGTTTCCCCCACTGCCACCCCCGTACCTTGGCACAGCACTTAACACTATGTCACTTTTTTTCCCCACCAGGCTCGCTGGTTCTGGGAAGCATACTTCCAGTCCATCAAGGCCATCGCTCTGGCCACCCTGCAGATTATCAATGACCGGATCTACCCGTATGCTGCCCTCTCCTATGAGGAATGGAATGACCCTCCTGCCGTGGTGAGTGAATTCTCGGCCCTGGCCACATCCCAGTGTGGCCCACCAGTTAGGATTGGGGTGAGGCAGAGATTACTCAATTGGGGAAGTGAGCAAGTCTTCCCTTCCTTCCTTCCTTCCTTCCTTCCTTCCTTCCTTCCTTCCTTCCTTCCTTCCTCCCTCCCTCCCTCCCTCCTCCCTCCCTCCCTCCCTCCCTCCCTCCCTCCCTCCCTCTCTCGCACCCTCCCTTCCTTCCTTCCTTCCTTCCTTCCTTCCTTCCTTCCTTCCTGTCTCTCTTTCTTTTTTTTTCTTTCTCTTTTCTTAAATACTTGGGGTCCCCCCTCCTTCCCCCATAAGGCCCGTATAATTTGGAAACGATGACAAAAGCAGGAGATTCAGAAGCAGCAGTTTGTTTTAAACGTGCTCGGGAAGACAGCGTGTTTATTTATTGCAGAGATAAGTGGGGGAGGTCTGGGTCTTGTTGAAATCAAAGACTTCCTGATGACTTTCGCAGTGCGTCGAGAGCTGAGAGCTCTTAAAAGGCTTCTGTGCGGGCCCATGCAATCGGCAAGAGCGTGCACTTGGAGCACTTTCTCTGGGCTGGAGACTTTGCCAACGACTTTTTTTTTTTTTTTTTTTTGCTTTTTGGGTCACTCCTGGCTCTGCACTCAGGAATTATCCCTGGAGGTGCTCAGGGGACCATATAGGATGCTGGGAATCGAATCGAACCCAAGTCAACTGTGTGCAAGGCAAACGCCCTACCCACTGTGCTATCACTCCAGCCCCACCTTGCCAACTGCTTTACAGTCATTGCTTCAGTGCGCAGGTCCAGCCCATGTGAGGAACATAATTCGCCGACGTGATCCCGCCTGGATTGTCACAGTCCCTTGCTCTATCTAGGCTGTGGTCGCTGGGGGTAGTTCCAGCCAGAGATGGGGCAGGAGCGGATGGGTGGGTGTGACAGAAGGGGGGACTATATTTAGCTGTTTGGGTATAGCTGACATGACATCTGTTATTGATAGAGATTTCCATGGCTGTTTTTTTTTTTCCCTCCCCCCCTGGTTTTCAAACGGTAACCCAAGGGATGTACTTTTATACATATACCTTTTTGCACATAAATGTGTGAATGAAAAGATCTAGAATTCCAGCAAGAAGTTGCTTAAACACATCTTGAACAAATTGCCCTCGAACAACACGATACCAGTTTCCCAGTTCCGCGAATAATGCGTTAGGTGTTTGGCTACCCCGAGTCTATGACGTCTTCCTCGTCGTGATAATAGCCGGTCTCTGGTGTGCAACTCTCTCACATGGAAAGTGGATAGTTCTCGCTGGTCTCCCCACCCTCCCCCTTCAGCATACCCTCTGCACGCGCTGTGCTTGCTTGTCTGTGTGTCTTGGCGCTCCTGGGCCCTTTCCCATCTCTCTTCACCCCTGCCTCCAGCTGTTTGTTTTCTAGCCCAATTTCAGTGGCTGCTCATAGATTTTTTTTTTAATCCCCCTTCCTAAGTTTTTTTTTTTAGAACTCTGCCCCCATCCCCCACCCCAGCAGGAAGTCATCTTTCCTTGGAATGCTTCAAATGTATCATCTGTATTTTTTCTGTCCCTTAGCCTGCATACAAGTATGATTTCCTTATAAAATTGTGAGCATTTTGTTGAAGGGAATCTCTGTGTTTTCTTGGTCCTGTTAGCGCATCTTCTTGGTCTTGTTAGTGCAGAAGTGGATTTTCCTGCACCCGGTCGGTGCTTGGGAGTTGTATGAAAAATTTGCATCCAAAGATTGGAAGATTAAAAGTTAGTTTACTGTATAGGTTAAGTAGATGGGTTTGGACCTCTCCTTAACCTGCGAGTGACGTCACTTTTCCTGTCCCTGGTGCTGCCCCGTCCCGTGTAAGGCCTCCTGGGTCCCGTCCCTTGAGTTCTGCTCTCTCCAGTGTACGAGTACTGGGTCCGTCCCTCACGTCCCTCGCTGTCCTGTTGGAGTCCCTGGGTCTTTCTTGGACTGACCCCAACAGTTCTCTGACCTCTCATCCTGGCTGTCCTCCAGCCTCCCACCACCACGCGCTGTGCTCGGGGCCTCTCAGCTGTCCCTGTCATCGGCAGTTTCTGTCGTCCTGTCCCGGCTTTACTAGTTTCTGGCCACTGTCACATGCACATGAGTGAGGCTCCTGTGCTCAGTATCCGTCCCTGCCTGAATATGTCATCTGTCCGGGCACGCAGGTCCTACCTCATCTTACAGTTGGCCTGGGCTTAGGCAGAGAGTTTGTTGAGAGAGTCGGGGGAGGAGAGAGCGGAGGGGGGGAGGAGGGAGAGAAATGGGAGGGAGGGAGGGAGGGAGGGAGGAAGGGAGGGAGGGAGAGAGAGGTATGAAGAAGGAGAGAGAGGGAGAAAGAAAGAGGGAGAGAAGGATAGAGAAGAAGAGGGAGAGAGGGATGGAGAGGGAGAGAGGGAGGGAAGGGCTGGGTCCCCCTTTGATCTTCTGCCATCCCATGATCTGCTTCGATTGGGTCCCTTCCCATGGGTTACTGTCCCATGGGCAAGATAAAGTGACCGACTAAATTCACCAGGCACTGCACCCTCCCACTCACGCCATATCAACATCCCACGTAATATCAAGGACAGTTTAGCGTGGACAGGTCTTTAATTGATAAAGGAGGGAGGAAGGGAAGGTGGGATAAGGGAGGCCAGAGCTGGAGCCTTGAGGGTCCCCTCCTGCCCTGATGTGACATGTGACCCTTCCGCTGACCTTCACCCTATTGGGGGTATAGGAGGAATCTCATCTGCAGGGTGGCGTGGTGAGCCCCACCGTGCCTCGTGACTGGTCTGGGCAAACTCTCAGGCGGGCAGTCACGACCCCATGTGAGTGGACGTAGAACGTTGTGAAAGATTATAAACACAATCGGTCTGACGGCAGATTTCTTTGTGTTATTGTCAGCATAGAGCTGGAGCGATCGCACGGCGGGTAGGGCGTTTGCCTTGCATGTGGCTGAGCTGAGCGACCCAGGTTCAATTCCTCCGCCCCTCTCGGAGAGCCCGGCAAGCTACTGAGAGTATCTCGCCCGCACGGCAAAGCCTGGCAAGCTCCCCGTGACGTATTCAATATGCCAAACACAGGAACAACAAGTCTCACAATGGAGACGTTACTGGGCCTGCTTGAGCAAACCGATGAGCAACGGGAGGACAGTGCTACAGTGCTATTGTCAGCAACAGTTTGATTTGTATACCTGCTTCATCTGTATCACCCAGGGGTGGCATAAAAACTGCTCAGGAGGAAAAAGGGGTCCTGAGTGGAGACGGTTGAAGAAGCCTTGGTGTTGGGGCCGGAGCGATAATACGGCAGGTAGGGTGCTTGCCTTGCTTGCGGCCCGCCTGGGTTCGATCCCCAGCATCCCATATGTTTCCCCGAGCACAGAGCCAGGAGCAAGCCCAGTGCGCCACCAGGTACAGACAAAAAACTGAACTGAATAAAACAAAAAGAACATGAGTAGGACAAGCAAAAATGTAGTACACAACTCCAAAGCGTATTCTGTATGTATTTGCCTTAGCTCTTCCTTAATCCATCCCTTAGTGTTTTTGGGCCACACCGACATTGCTCAGGGATCACTCCTGGCGGACCAGGGGACCATATGGGGTGCCGATGGTTGAACCCGGGTCAGCTGCATGCAAGGCTAGCGCCCTGCCCACTGTATTATTGCTCCGGGCCCCCACATCCCTTTGGTGTTTACGCTTTTCTGAGAGCTCCCGTGGCAGGAGCAGCTGCCTAGTGTGCTAGTGTGGGTTTCCTGCCTCTGCACCTCAGCATTGGACAGAAGCCTGCAGGGCACTGAGTGATTTACACTCCCTCCTCCCACCCACCCCCCCACCCCCTCCAGGCAGCCTCCACCCAACCTGCAGGGAGTTTCCCACTAGATTCCATCACTATGACAGTATCAGTGCTCTGAGAGGGAGGGGGTGCAGATTTATCGTAAATCAAAGGGTCGCACCTTGTTTCCAGGGTCTCCAGGTCTCCAGTCAATGCCTGGAGCTTGGGCAGTTGGGGGAGATGGGGAAAAAGTTCTGAGAGAGAGAGAGAGAGAGAGAGAGAGAAAGAGAGAGAGAGAGACAGAGACAGAGAGAGAGAGAGGCAGAGAGAGACAGAGAGAGAAAGAGAAGAGAGAAAGAAGAGAGAGGGAGAAAGAAAAGAGAGTGAGACAAAGAGAGAGAGAGAGAGGAGAGTGAGAGAGAGGAGAAAGAATGTATGCGTGCATGTAATGTGTGTCTGTGTGCATGTGATGCCATGCACGTGTGCACGCACATGTGATGTGTGTAGTGTATGCAGGTGTGCATGTGATGTGTGTGTGAGTGCATGTGATGTGTGTGAGTGCATGGACATGTGACATGTGGGTGTTTGTGTGTTATGACTACATGGAGCCTTGTCCTCCAGGGAACCACCTGCACATGCCCAGTTCCCCCCCCCCCCCCCCCCAAGGCCACAGGCTCAGATCCTGGGAGAGCTGCCCCTCCTTCCCCTCACCCCCTCGCTCCTGCTGTTCCTAGCCTGACCATTCTGTCACAGTGTTCTGGGTCATGGCTCTGCAGGAGAGCACTTGCCTTGCATGTATGAGGTGCCGGACTCCATCTCTGGCCCTGCAAATAGACACACAGCTGTGTCCTGGAGTCTTCCCCTCTCCTGTGCTCCTGTTGGTATTGTTGGAAAACTGGGGGTCTCACCGCTGTCGCTGTGGGACTGGCATCGCTGTCTGGTGCAGAGAGCTGGGCCCCAGGGGCGCTGAAGGGTCTTCTCCCCAGGGGAGAGGATTCTAGGAGGGGCCGCAGCATGTTCACACTTGTGGGGCCTCTTTTCCTTATTTCTCAGGTGTGTGTGTGTGTGTGTCTGTGTCTGTGTCTGTGTTGTGTGTGTGTTTTGTGTGTGTGTATGTGTGTGGCAGGGGGGCTTAATTTACTACCATTTCCAGCTCCCTGCAGACCCCACCCCTTTTCCCCTTCTTGCAGCTGTCACCTCCCAGGACACCCCCCACCCACCCATG